AGAGAATTGGCCAACGGGGAGCGGAACAGTTCAGGGCACATAAAGATCCTGAATAAAAATTTAAAAGCAGTGCCTTTTAAATATCCCCACTGCTGACAGTGAGGTTTAAAGGCACTACAATGTGTCAGAATGGAGAGAACCTGGTGCATTCACCATCCGGAATGAGAATATGGATACAAAATTCCAAAGATAGTGTCAGCTTTCTGAAAATATGAGCCCCTTTTCAATACACGATGTGGTGGTGCAGGTTTTATTGGATTACAGTCCATTTTTCCAATCCATATTCCCTTAACTTGCTGGTAAGAATGTGGTGGGTGGCTGTATCAAAAGCTTTGCTAAAGCAGGCCCTGGGGGCTTTGGGGGGGGGACCAAAAACAACATATTTGCATATTCATCATTTGCTTAATGAATATGCAGATGAATTTTACCAGTCCTCCGAAAGCTTGTGAATGGATTTACTGGTCCCAGTGTCAAAAAGTTTGGGAACCCCTGCTTTTGAGTGTTACATAAGTGTAGCAAGCTATGAATGTTAGATGATTCAAAGCTATTAGTGTGCTTCTCCCAAAATGCTTATTAAACACTCTTGCCAGGCTGATTGCTACGTTAGGAAAACTGGTTTTTAAAAAAAAGTTTTTGCTGGTAACCTGTTTGTAAAGTTACTGAAGTTTTCACTTTTTTTTCTCTCCAGAGACTTATGTGCAGAGAAGCAAACAGTAGCTGCACTTCTGACCAAATATGCTCGTTCTTCCGTGCAGAATGGTGTCAAAGTTTATAACTCTAGAAGACCCATCTAACAGGAAAGTCTTAAGAATCAAGAATGCATCTAGGAATAGTGGTGTTTATCCCAGAATGATCTGTGCTTATGTAAAATTATCAACTAATATGAAACGTCACTGTTTAGAAAGATCTGTCAGCTGAAAAAGTGTAGTACTGTATATCAAAGACAATGCAATTTGGTTATTTTAGATCTTTGTCGAAATAATTGTTTTTCTACCAAAAGACCACACACACATTACTGGAATCTAGTTTCCACCACTTAATCAGGAAGATGTACAAATTGGTTTGCAATGCACTGAATTTTGTAATTGTTTTGCTTCTAGAATATTAAGACACACAGTATCCTTAATTTACTTGCCCTTACTGTTTATGCAAAATAAGTCTAAGAGGCTAGTTAAGTCCAATAAAAATTATTAGAGAAAACTATTGTTTCTACATATTAACAGAATAACGTTTCCTTTCTTTTATCCTGTAAAAACATTACTTCTAATGATGATGCTGAATACATTATTTCAAATGCAAAGTGGAATTCTTGGTTTGTTTGCTATAAAAACGGAACTGTCAGGCATTCTAGTTAACAAGCAACAGTTTGAGTTCTGTATGTAAAATTAAGTTTGGCATTATAGGTGAATTACATTTTTCCATTGTGCACTACGAGTCAGGACTTTGGAAAGTTCTTCTGATTCATGTCTTTAAATGTGGATAACATCAGACTTAAGGCATAATTTAATAGTATTAGCAAAATTGCTTTAAACTACATAGTACCAACAAGTGTGTAAAATCCAGGCTAAGAGGATGCCTCAGATTACTCAGACATGCTATGGACTCAGCAGCTTTTTCTGTAACATGCCCTTCTGCACCACTGACATATTGCTGACATAAAATAACTGTTTTTGCAGAAGGCTTACTTGTAAAAAGTGATAAATTTAACTTTGTAGTGTTGTACTGCATATCAAGAATATACGTAAACCCTAGAAAAATTTCTGCAACTGTTCCATCTAAATGTAAATCTTTTTGAAATGTAGAGCTGTGAAGCATGTACTCTTTGTAATATTGGTAAATTAAATTTTGTAAAGGCTTTTTATAGCTAGATTTCCATTTGTCATTTATTAAACCTGTGCCACCCCAGTTTGCTATTTTAACACAGCAGATTTGCACAGCTGTCAATGGAAATATTATGGCAGCGTGATGGTTAATATGGCAGTGGGGTAAAGGGGAATAGAGGACGATAGATGTTATAAAATAACCTAGTTTAACCCTTAAAATATGGTATACCTTACCTTAAAATTCTAAAGATATGTAAAAACTGAATAAACTCCAGAACCACCTCTTCTGTGCTGTCAGCTTCTCTGTTTTTACTGTCATTCCATTTTGCTAGACTATCCCCAACCCAAAATGGATGTCAAAAGGCTTTAGTGAACAATAACACTCTCTCAACCAACTGGGTTTTCAGGGCAGAATTTGGGGGTTCTGTTTCAAAAATGTTCTACCCTGTTAGGCTGGTGAAGCAGGAGCGCGGAGCATGTAGGACTCCTGGGCCACAACTTTTTTCTTTCCTCTCAGCTGTTCCATTCTCCTCCAGGAGACCCTCAACACAAATGTAAAACAGAATTGGTCAATATATTGAGTCAACACCTTTAATTTCTTAATAAAATTAGAATCTACAGTATGAGTAATGTCTTACTCTGTAAAGCACCATGTATATTCACAGTGCTATTTTACTTAAATTTTAATTGGCAATGACAGTTACTAGAAAAAACAGTAGGAAACCAGGACATTGCTACAGCTTTGTCTATGCACTCAACAACTTATCAACACAGCCGTGTTGCCTAAAGTCAGGCATGCTTTTATCCACTTCTGCGGACAAAATTCTTCCAGTCACCCTGACAAGCCATTTATGCTAGAGATGTTAAAATGCGTTTACTTTGTTGTGAAAATGTCAGTGGTTACACATGGGGAGGAAGTGGCACCGTGTGTTAAAAGCCGGCTCCCAGCATGTAGTGGCTCCTGCCTGCCCTCACTCGTGCTGCTGCCTCTGTTACAGAGGAAGGAGGGTAGGGAAGGGCAGGTGGCTCTCTGTAACCTGAGATCAAAGTGACAATACAGTGGCAAGATTTTGTTTCTTACAAATATTTGGCAGTCATATCTAGGGATGTTAAGGACTAGTGCTTATCAGATAGTTGACTAATCGCTTCCCCTCCTTGCTGTCTGAGAGGTACTTCAAAGCAGCAGTGCTGAACGGAGCCCCATAGCCTCCTCTGCTTGCTCCACATGCCACTCAGAAACATGGATGCTGTGTCCCATTTTTGTTTCAAAACTGGAGGGGAGGAGGAAAGCTTCAGGAGCTGCCCCACCACAAGCACAATCCCCAGAAACTGGCCAATTGGAGCTGCTTGTTGGAATAAAAGGAAGCCAAGAAGAATCATGCTCCCTCTTCTCAGCTCAGTTATTCACACAAGCACATGGCTGTGCAGGTGAAGTGTAGGCAGGCAGGTTAGCTGAGAAACATTTTAAGCTCTGCAAGCCTTAGCTCTGCAGGTAGGCAGGCTGGTAAGTCTCCTGGCCAGAGCCTGCCTCTGGCATCCCAACCCTCTGAACCCCCAATCAACATACCCAAACCCTCTGTTTCCCTCCCCCCTCCCCCAACACCTATACCTCCTCCCAGATCTGGCACTTAAATTTCCTGCCACAGATCACAATCCCCTCCTACCTTAGGTCACATCCCAAACCTCTGCACTCCAGTCCCCACCCTACATACCAACCACCTCCTTCACCCAAACTCCCTCCCAGACTCCATTCTCCCTCCTGAAACCCAATCCCTTACCCCAAGCTCCCTTCTGTACCCGACTTCCATCCCAGACTCCGCATCTCCACCATTAATATAATGAAAGAGTGCAGCTCTCGACCACTTTCCAAAATCTTGTTGACACCCCCGTCAAAAATTATTGTCCACCTTGGTCTAGACATTTATCAGCGTAACAAAATAAGAGTTTCAAATTTACACACTGAAAGTGAATAAATACACAAGATAGTTACCCCAGAACAGGGCTACCCAACACACAACCTGCGGTGCAGTTTGGGTCTATGTGGGGCTCAACACATAACCCATGGTGGGGGAGGGGGCAAGTAAAACCAAAAAAGTAGTCTTCTGTTTATATCGATTTAGTAGTTAAATTCCTGGACTGTCATTGCTCATTAAGGGTTCATCTAGACTACGGGGAACGGTCGAAAGAAGATATGCAAATTCTACAAGAAGAGTGACAAAAGTAATTAAGATGCGGCTTTTTCGGCAAACTACCCCCTTTGTTGAAAAGCTGCTCTTCCTCAAGAAAGGAGGTTTACGCAGCTTTTCGACGAAGAGGGGAAAGGGGGTCGCCGAAGAAGCCATGTCTTAATTACTTTCACATTCGAAAGCTCTGCAGAAGAAGATATGCAAATTCCCGCAGGTGTCATATGGGTGGAAATCGGAGAAATACTGCATTTTATTAATATCAGTAGAACTGACTTAAAGGGGCCCTGTGTGTTGTGTACTCTTGCTTTAATCTTTGTATTGATGCCCATCAGTGTGAAAGAAGCTATTTGAATACAGTAGAGTCTCGATTATCTGACCTTCCTTTATCCGACATTTTGTGTTATCCGACCTGCCTGTGGCCACCCAAGGCAATTGTGCGGGCAGCGGAGCCGGCAGAGCAGAGCATGGAAGGGAAGGCGCATCTTCCATGGTGCGTAGCCCTCCCTCTCCAAAGGAGGAGGCTCTGTTGTATCACGAAAGATGTAGTTTGACCAGGTACCTCACTTATTGAAAATGAAGCACCAAACTGAAATGTTTTGGATTTTAGCTGGAATGTTTGTTCCTGTATTTCTGCTAAATTATCAATAGTCTATTGAAGATTTAGATGAAAACAATTTTTGGGTTTGTTGCGATTTTTCCATTGGGGAAGTGGGTAACCCCTCCCAACCCTACCCCCTTCCAAGCTCTAATTGTAAGATGTGGTAAAATTGCAATAGTGGGCAACTCTTTTATACTGCCCTACAAGGAGCCTGAGGGAAACGAATCCTGTAGCAAAACTTGGTTCCTACAGCGATTTTTCCACTTGCAGTGCGAAGACAAAGGCGGTGAGAGAAGAGAGAG